GTGGTATTTATGTAATTTGGTAGTCAGCAGATATTAGGAATGTAGTCTAGTACTGGGGGTTGTATATGCATTGTATCTATGTAGGCATGCGCTGGGTGATATATTAGGTATGTATTAGGTAGGTATGTAAGCACGCTACTAAGTATACAGGATGTACACAGGCAAGAAATGGGCGATATATTAGCTGTATATTACATATTACGTCTAATAGGCCAAAAGCAGTATATAGGTTGTATATAGGCCATATATTTCGTAGATAGTCTTACGGCAAAACTGTATGGTCTGTCCGGAAGTTCAGTGTTCAAACCTTATCCTTCGACATGCCCAAATACCTGCGCAATGCCAGTGTTTTGGTATTTCCCATACGAAGGAGCCCAAACCCCAATTCTAAAGTCTAAAACCCAAACCCTAAAACGGGCGAGAGCATCGCTGACCATAGCGCTCGAGCCTTCTGGCTCGGAGCTAAGCTTCGATGCTACTACGAATCTAGGGGCCTGCTAGGGTTAAAGGTAGCAGGACACAGCAGATGGGCTATATCCTCTGGCGCCAGTAAAGGATAACCCCAAACCTAAAGTTTTTTCGCTTACTGAGCATCGATCTTGAACTTACCAACCCAAGTGGGGATCCCCCAAGTGGGGATCCCCAACCCAGCCGGGGATCGCCAACCCACCTGGGGGCTTCAAACGTGGCGGCTGGAGGGGGAGGTGAACCCACTGGGAAACTTGAAGGGTTCCACTTTGAATGGAACTTTAAACCCTAAAAGTGCTTAACTTGGTGCCTGGCGGGTGAATAAGCAAAGCGAGCGCGCTTCGTGCCAGCAGAACCGACAGCTCCCCGCCTGCACGCGACCACTTTAGAATACCCTAAACCCTAAAACTCAGAATCCTAAACCCGAAATCCTCCATGTTGCAGTTTGGGCAAACCACAGAGTCTGTGTTTAGTGTTAGGAAAATAGGTACGCAGGTGGCAATGTAGGCTGTATATAGGCATGCAATAGATTGTAGTTTGTAGCAACATAGTAAGTGCTTGTATAAGAAGGATAACAAAGCAAAATTAGATTAGTACCGGGCAGGCAAGGCAAGGAGAGGCCAGGGTTGTAGCGTTTAATGTGGTGGGGGATGGGGCGGTACCTAACCCAATAGGGAGTGTGGAGGACCCGGAGGACGGGACCACGTGGACATGTAAAACAGGTCTATATGATGTGTCTCGATTTACCTATGTATTTTGTTTGCTTACTTGTCGATCTATCTAGTAGTCTAAATCTAGATGGAATCTAATTAGTCAGCTAGTTGGCTAGCTACCTATCTTTAAACATATACACATTCCCTGCAACCAGGTGCCATCCTGAAATTTGAAGGTTTTGATGGTTTTGGTTCAAAGCATCCATTTTCAAATGTAGTCTTCGTTTTTCTGAAACAGATTCCAAAGAACATCATCACATAAAACATCACATTTATACTCGTTCCCCATTTGTTTCCCGTCCCCAGATATTCCCGCCCAACTGCCCTAAGGGCCATGATCCACGACTACTTGGAAGACCCTGATCCCGCAAACTTCTTCAATGCACGGTTGCAAACGCAGTAGTAGTTAAGTAGGCATCGGGCCCGGATATGCAGATTGCAAGAGCATCATCATGCAATTTGTTCGTGTTTTTTCCAGTCATGGGGTTGATTTATCTTGAGATATATCGGGATAGAAAAACTACCTACCAAACACATCTGGTGGTTAGAACACCCATTTAAAATTGACTTCATGCGGTGTTTGGGAACCCCGGTGGGGGCTGCAACCTGCAAAATTCGTGTAGTCGGCACAGCGGAAAGTCAGAATTCCTGGGCGATGCGCACGGCATCTCAGGCTCAAGTTGAGTATATGTGACTAGCGATAAAACAGTACGATTCCCAATCAGCCATGTGGATAGAACCAATACTCCTGCATTAATTGGGCATGTATTATCCAAACACTTATTTTCAAAGAAGAACCGGTACATCATCTTCTTAGATCTTGACTTGGGTCCCTCAGTTTCACCGGTGTTTTTGCTCTCACCGCGGCGTGAGCCGCAAATAGACAAACTTTTTCTCTGCGGCATGAGCTGCAAATAGATGAACTTGTCAGTGGCATGAGCCGCAAATACATGAAGTTCAAGAACGAGGGTCAGGTTGATTAGACTGGCCGTTTGGGAGACGCAAGAGATTTCAGACTCATCTTTGACCACCTGGGTGGTGCAGCTTGGCTCAATAGTTGGGCACACTCTGACCACTTGATCAGGCTTCAGGGAAACCGGCGTCAGCCAAATGGATGCAACTGGCTGAACAACCACCTCAAAATCGGATATTGCGATTTTGGGATACAGTATTTCATGGGAGATACTCTAGTTGCTCACATATGAACTTGATTTGAAAGAAACGATCTCAGTAAATCTGTTTTTTGTCGGATTCATCCCAGTGCACCCCAAAAATCTCAACAACTCCGTCTTCATGACTGATGCTGAGGCTGTGCGCGCCCCGTGGTGCTCAATTCCATTCTGTTATTCTTGGACAGGAAACCTCACGTGGGTCCAGCGAGAGGTTACAGACATGGGAACCACTGTCCTTGAGCTCAGCCAGTTGCTTTATGATGTATCATGATGTTTCATGTTGTTTCGACATGCTACAAATATATTACAATGTAGCCTGCTTGAAGTGATCAACACAAAGGGATCATAGTCTCTTTTGGCTCCGTTTAATCAAATCAACCAGGCATGGTTTGCGCATATTCCCACTATTTTTGGGATGAGGCCTAGAAATTGGGTCAACTATGTGAGCCACCATGTTTTACTAGGTGGGAGTGGGTAATTACATCCCAAAGGGCGGTCCTTACCATTACGCCTGTGGGGTTCCATCTGGTAAAATCCCTTTTGGTAGATGGTTGTCATGGTTCTTTTAGGCTATCGCATTTGGGTGGATGGAGATTGTGGTAGTTCTGTCTGCAAATAATTTTGTCGGTTGTGGTGAACATTTTTTCAGTACCTGGCAGGCCGGCAACTGGAGCCTTCATTTTGGCATCACCTGTTGACAGCCCCTTCAATGACAAACCCAAAGCCACAATATCCGAAAAACATCAACTTAAGTGATATATTTTGAGATGTCAACGATTTGCCAAAATGTCATTCAAAGCCTTGCCACTCTAAAAGACCAGAAACGCTTTTTGCTATAAACGCTTTCGGTCGTCCTTGTCAAAAAAAACAACTTGGGATATCCACCAGAAACAAACACAGGGCCACCATTGCCGCCATGGTTCATAGAATTGATCGAAGGGAAATTCAAGCCGAAAAGCTTTATGTTTGCGGTTCAAAACTATGGTTTCAACCTTTTTTACCCAAGAAAACCAAATCATTGAAATTCACTTAAATCATTTCTTGGCTGGCAAAATCCACAATTTGGCAGTCATACAGGCATACGGTCGCATAGGTGTATACATATATATATATATATATGTGTGTGTGTGTGTCTGTGTGTACAAATACACATATATATATATATATAGATATTTATATGCATAAATATCTATATATACAGGTATGTATATATAGGTGTGTGTATATATATATATATATATGTATTTATAAATATGTGTATATTTATATACATACCAGTAGTACCGCACAAGGCGGTGGCGGAAGTTTCAGAATAGGAAACCTATAGGAGACGTTGGTTGTTGTGAATCACGGATGGCAGAGCGAATCCACTGATTGACCGAAAGGTGGTTGGAGTTGTGTTTCTGGAATGGTTGCAATGGTTGCAGTGGTCACCTCACCCACAACTGCTGGATGTAGTGTGATGTACTGCAACTGTAGTTGTTGTAGTTGTAGTTGTAGTTGTTGTTGTTGTTGTAGTTGTAGCTGTAGTTGTTGTGTGGTTGTAGTCGTTGTGTAGTGTAGTTGTAGTAGTAGTAGTAGTTGTTGTTGTTGTTGTTGTAGTTGTTGTAGTTGTTGTAGTTGTTGTTGTTGCTGTTGCTGTAGTAGTAGTAGTAGTAGTTGTTGTTGTTGTTGTAGCTGTAGTTGTTGTAGTTGTAGTTCTAGTTCTAGTTGTAGTTGTTGTGTAGTTGTAGTTGTAGTTGTAGTTGTAGTTGTTGTTGTTGCTGTTGTTGTTGTTGCTGTTGTTGTTGTAGTTGTTGTAGTTGATGTAGTTGTAGTTGTTGTAGTTGTAGTTGTAGTTGTAGTGGTTGTGGTTGTTGTTGTTGTTGTTGTCGTTGTCGTTGTTGTTGTTGTTGTTGTTGCTGTTGCTGTTGTCGTCGAAGTTAGGGTAGTTAAGTGAGTCAAGTTAGTTAAGTTAAGCAGTGTCTACTTTTTCGACATCTTCACGTCAAAAAAGGCTCAAAACCCTCAGTTTTTTACACTTTTGACTTCGAAATGTGCTTCGCGCCACAACGGCGTGCACTTTTTCGACACTTTTTCGACATCTGAGCCTCCAAAAGTGGTCCGAGACCGTCAGTTTTTAACACTTTTGACTTGGAAATGTGCTTCGCGCCACAACGGCGTGCACTTTTTCGACATCGCAACTTCCAAAAGTGGTCCGACAATGGTGTGTTTTGTACATTTTGACTTGGAAATGTGCTTCGCGCCACAACGGCGTGCACTTTTTCGACATCTCAACTTCCAAAAGTGTCCGAACCTGGTGTGTTTTGTACATTTTGACTTGGAAATGTGCTTCGCGCCACAACGGCGTGCACTTTTTCGACATCTCAACTTCCAAAAGTGGTCCGCTCCTCTAGTGTTTTGTCCATTTTGACTTGGAAATGTGCTTCGCGCCACAACGGCGTGCACTTTTTCATGTCTCATCTGGCCAGCCGGCTCCGCACCCGCCGCTTTAGCGAGCCTACTTTTCGACCCTCCGGAGCCACAAATCATTGGAAAAACACAGTGAATCGCGACTTTCCTATACCTTTTCGCGCACCTGCATCTTCTTTCTTCTGATCTTTTCTCTTCTGACTCTTTTCACCTCTGCTTTTCAACTGTCCATATTGTCGGAAGTTTCACTTCTAAACTTCCTTCGATAAATATGTATATATATATATATACCTACATACAGACATACATGCATGCATGCATGCATGTATTTTATTTATTTATTTATTTATTTATTTATATTTATTTGTTTTTATTTTATTTATTTATTTATTTATATATTCATTCATTTATTTATTTATTCATTCATTTATTTGTTTTTATTTATTATTTAATTATTCATTTATTTATGTGTTTAATTAATTCCCGAGAGCGTCTGAGCGCAGGGTTCTTCCAATAGTGGGGGTTCACATCTTCACATCTTCTCATCTTCACATCTTCTCATCTTCACATGTTCTCATCCTCACATCTTCTCAGCTTCACATCTTCACACATTTACATCCTCATATCTTCACATCTTCTCATCTTCACATCTTCTCATCTTCACATCCTCACATCTTCACATCTTCTCATCTTCACATCTTCTCATCTTCACATTTTCTCATCATCTTCACAAATTCACATCTTCACATCTTCTGATGTTCACATCTTCTCATTTTCACATCTTCTCATCTTCACATCTGCTCATCTTCACATCTGCTCATCTTCACATCTTCACATCTGCTCATCTTCACATCTTCTCATCCTCACATCTTCACATCTTCACATCCTCACATCTTCACATCTTCTCCTCTTGCCCTCTTGCCCTCTTGCCCTCTTGCCCTCATACCCTCTCCTTCTTTTCTATTTCTCTTCTGAAGGCAGGGGCAGGGGCAGTGCCAACGAGATGGCACGAAACGCAACCCTTTCGTACGAAACGAGGTTCGATCGTCAAAAACTGAAGTAAAAGTGCGATTGCAAAGTGTCCGGCGCAACCCTTTTGCACGAAATGAGGTTCGATCGTCAAAAACTGAGGTAAAAGTGCGAGTTCAACTTGTCCCGCGCAACCCTTTCGCACGAAATGAGGCTCGATCGCCAAAAACTGAGGTAAAATTGCGATTTCAACTTGTCCCGCGCAACCCTTTCGCACGAAACGAGGTTCGATCGCCAAAAACTGCGGTAAAAGTGCGCTTTCAACTTGTCCCGCGCAACCTTTTCGCACGAAATGAGGTTCGATCACCAAAAACTGAGGTAAAAGTGCGAGTTAGAGTTGTCCCGCGCAACCCTTTCGCACGAAACGAGGTCCGATCGTCAAAAACTGAGGTTAAATTGCGATTTCGGGGTTCCCGTTGCAACCCTTTCGCACGAAATGAGGGTCGATCGCCAAAAACTGAGGTAAAATTGCGATTTTTTCTGTGTGTACAAAGCTTGTGTGTGCTGTGTGTCAAAGCTTCTGTGTGTAAAAGCATCTGTGCGTAAAAGCGTCTGTGATGTAAAAGCGTCTCTGTGTAAAAGCGTCTCTGTGTAAAAGCTTCTGTCTGTAAAAGCTTCTGTGGGTAAAAGCTTTGTGTGTAAAAGCGTCTGTGTAAAAGCAACTGTGTGTAAAAGCGTCTGTGTGTAAAACTGTCTGTATGTAAAAGCGCCTGTGTGTAAAAGCGTCTGCTATCGTCTGCTTAAAAGCTTCTGTGTGCTCTGTGTAAAAGCGTCTCTGTGATGTAAAAGC